ACGCCCTTTAACGGGAACCGGTTACTGCTTTGCTTTTACCTGACCTCAGGCAACAACGTAACCACAGACAACAAATCCATTTCGCACGCTTATGACCGAATAAAAGACAAAGTGAACAACGCCCACGAAAAACAAGAGCGAGTACATACATTCAGCGTAGCAGAGATAATTTTTTCAAATACATATGTACATGTATGTATATATTTTACGTCGAAAAAAGCAATACTCCAAATAAATGACAGCAACAAAACTAAAAATGAAGTTATCAATTGTTTAATCAAATGAAAGCAAAATAAAACTTAAAAGCCTCGCCACTGAACGAATCGCAATGAAAAACTCATTACAAAAAAAAATTAAATTTATAATAAAAAAAACTGTTGATCAGTTCTGTGAATGATTGAATGGGCGGCAGCACTTTACGCACAATTTGCCAAACCGATTAGCTGGCGCACTTATTTAATACAGTTACAGTGGACTCGAGTGAGCAAACCTACCACTCTCAACATAATTACCCAGTAGGAAAAATGTGGGAATAATAATTTGATATTTTTACCCACAGAAGTAAGCGGTAATTTTTCAATATATACCTTTGGTTCAGCCATATATATCAAAGGATTCGTGGTGATTGAGCAACGGATGAGCCCACAGCTGAAGCCACTGATCTTACAAACGTGGAACCTGAGGGATTATTCTGCGTAAGTCGTATGCACACGATAAGAAAAGCTTTTCCGGTTAGATCTGATATAAATTGTTTGACTCACATGGGGTCCTCTTTGCCTAAATTCACATGGAAAAAATTTTTTCTTCCTGGCAGAGGACTAGCGACTGATCTATTCGAAAAAATTGTATTTATCGATTGATTTACATACAAAAAATTTGGCAGAGAAAAAGCATTGCAACTGAATTAATTTGGATTTTTTTCCAGGAGTCCGGGGTTGATTTATTCGAAAAAATCGTGCTTATGATTCGATTTATATAAAATTTGCCAAGGAGGTAACTTTATGCCTTTATTAACATCGGGAAGTGCGCTTAGAATTTATTCCATGGTGGAACATATGTAGGCGGCTCTTTGCCAAGGTTAATATATGGCGAAGTTTTTTTTTTTGGAAGTAAGCCCGGAGCCGACCCATTATCGTACCAGTTGCAGATTGCTGAAACACATATGGAGCTCTTTGCCTAGATTAACATTTAAATAGCTTTACTTTGCCAGAAGTGGATCTGGAAGCAACATAGTATTCATGGCTGGATTTGCTTGATATCTAGAATACAGATGGTTCCTTGCCTAAGTCAATGTGTGAAGAAATATTCGTTGCGGGACCGATCAATCATAAAGAACTTTATTTCTGATTCGTTTAGCTTGGACTTCGAAACATACATATATACCTCCTTGCGTAGACTAATAACACCAAAATCACATAAGCAGTGTCCAGTAGACTAATAACATTTCATAAGTTATAAATATATCAATATACGAGTATATATATAAATATCTAATAAAAATCTAAGCTGATCACAGCCGAACTCCTCCTACGTTTTGGGGTTTTACGGCTTGATGTTTTTCCAACAAATTGAGGGATCTACAGATTATACGAAGCTGCCTCCGAACGGCCGATGGATTTATATGAGGTTCTTTTGTTGCATGTCAGAAATACATCCGAAGGGCTTGGCATTCCCAGCCGCTATGGGCCTCATTTTTAAGCGGAATCCTCAATTAATTCATAAACAAACAAAAAAGTACCAAAACTATTCGAAATATTATATAATACAAGTGATCTGGAACCCCAGACTTAGTTCGTAAGCATATGATAGGTTTAACTAAACTGTTTGGTAGTTTTAGTCATGATTTTAACTGATGGTACGAATGCGACCTTCTGAGTAGGGGATGGAAATGGAGGGCCGCTCCATTGCGATCTGAAATAATCGTCGTATAAGACGTAGAAAAGCTCAGAAGAGCTTTAATATTCAATATGGAAACCTCTTTTCGACCTTTGAACTGCGAAGCTCCGAGAAATCTACAACGACCTCTTACTAAGGTCGGACAGAAGCAGATGAGGTGTTTTAATGTCTCTTTCAGGCCTTTCTCCATGCTATTCCTACAAGTGTGATTGCTACTAATACCCATTCCAATTGCATGAAGTGTTAGTAGGCCTTGGGCAGTTATAAGGCGGGCTTTAGACTGTCCTACAGTCATTATGTGAACGTGTTAGCAAGAAAAGGGTTTTTTCCATTGCTACTTTTGCATATCATCTTGGTAATTTGGTTGTCGCTAATGTGTTTCATCTCACTCTGATTCGGCGTGCAGCTCTCTCAGGAATTTAATTACAGATCGTTTTTAACGACTTTTGAATTTCTTAAACTGATCCGCTAGCAAACGTATTAGACAATCTCATCAGCTACTTTGTTACCCATAATACCCTGGTAGCTTGGTACCCAGTATGTTTATAGCCGTTTACCCTCTGCAGCTCACGAACTGATATATTTTCCTTAATTGCCATCTACTGCATAAAAGCTATACCCGAAGGTTCTGGCTGAAAATTCCCCTAATGCGATTGGTGGTAGATTAAGTAACCTTTAGGGTAGTCCTTATTGCCCCTGTTATGCACCGTACACGAACCGCTGTAATGTTTCCTATACAAAAATTAGTGGCCTCGATCCATCACAGTGGAGCGCCATAGAGCAATATACTGTCGCTGTGAAACATGTTCCATATGGTACCCGGCATCTTTAACACTCTTTTCCCTACATTTAGTTTTCACATAAGTTTGCTGACAGATACTTGGTGTAATGTTTGAGTTATAGATCCACCTTCTTGAGCTACCATGGACAGATTTTGCTACCTTCATGTTAACAGTATTACAGTGGGTTTGTAATGATTTAATAATAATAATAATATCTGATTTTCCTATTGGGTAAATATTTATGTGCGTATGAATATGACGAGCGTGTAGTAAAATATACTCACAAACACCCTCTTATTGTGAAGGTCGCCTCTGTCACTGTCTTTTATATCTTTGTACATATGTATATAAGCATGAATAGGCGTATTACTAGTTTTACGATATAAATATGTATGTATGTATATTCGTGTAATAAATGTGCAAACTATCGAATTTTCACTCCACGTCAAACGCCCTCTCAGCCTTACCTTAACCTTACCAACTGTAAAAATACGCATGACAATGCAATTTCTTTCTCATTCACCTGTCTATCCGCTGCCGCAGGGCATTACATACTCACATACTCAATTGACATGATTCGCAGTTTTTAATTCACATTTGATCCATATTTTTAGTTTACGAGCGGCTCTCTTATTTTAATTGTATATTTTTTTTTTTATTTAATTTTTTTTTATAATTTTTTAGCATTTTAATCGTTTCTTTTTTGTTATTTGATTGACTTTTTATATTTTTTTTTTTATACATTTATTTTTTCTTTTTTTTCATAAAATATGCCGTGACGTACTTGACTTAAGCTCAATTACCATTAGACTGGCGTGGCTAATGTTATTTCTATTATTATCACTAAAATTAAATAAAATAAAATAAATAAAAATTCGTTAAACTTCAATTGTTGAGTTTACAAATATTCATTTTACATTAATATTATATTTCAATTTGCGGTTGCTTTTGTTGACTTTATTCGAGATAATATTTTGGAGATTTGAACACCAGCAAAGGATACCCACTAGGAAATTTTCCCAAAGAATAAACGATAGGAACAGCTAAGTGACTGTAAATTTTGGGACTACAAAAATTTTATGTACTCGCATATAAAAAAAAATTTTCCCAACATAAACAAGATCTGGGAAAATCAATACTAAGTTGCTCTTGAGTATATGATTTTCAGAATATTTGGATTTTTAAGTGTCCAACAGTTTAGACTGTCTTTCGGATATCCCCTCCAAAAATTGCATGATCTCGGTGACCAATTGATATTACCAAGACGAGAGGTGATGAGACTCTGAAATTTTTATCAAAATAAAGACATTTTCTCTCGTGTTATGTGGCATGTGCCACCATCTTGCTGAAATCAGATATTGTCCATGTCGTGTTCTTCAATTATAGACCCAAATAGACCGCAAGGTTTCGAGTTGACAGTGACGCCCAGTTTGTCCTTTACCTTTTTCATCATAGAAGTAAGGAGCAATCACATCTCCTGACCAAAGCACAGCAGAGAATTTTTTTTTATGTAATGGCCTCCCCTCAGTCTTGAGCATTCATGAAGGCCCAAATGCGACAATTTTGCTTATTTTTTATCCTCCGATTGAAAAATATGTGGTTGCTGAAGAATATTTTGTTCGAAAAACCACTGACCAATGCTTCTTATCCAAGCTCCAATTATGAAAGCTTGGCTTTATATGGATGTAGGTGTAAATTCAAGTGCTTCAGAAAGTCGAAAAAGAGCCATATTTGGGTCTTCGGTAAATTCCCTGGGAAGAAACTTTATCCTAAAACCCGAGCATACTTTATATAATTCGCGTTTTGTAACCGCTGAAGCGATTTTCGGCCGATCTCCTACTCCAATTTGTGGATTTTCAACTTAATGTTTTTCCAGCAAATGGAGGGATCTACAGTTTATTCGAAGCCGCCTCCGAACGCCCTCGAACCAGGGTTCAAACCTTGGCTTTCAGAATGTTACTACGCTATGCTAACCACTCGTTAAATACGGCCGTCTTGACCACTTGGATCTGTTATAGAACCATTATGAGTATTTTGATTAGCCATAAGGGGGAGCCCAAAGCTATGGAAACCTAATAGAATCTTCGGGGAAGTCTTCTATATACAGATCTCATTACTTTGATGGTTGGAGTAGCTCTAAAGTTAGCTTATTTTTTTCTTGCTGGACCTGAAAACTCTCCTTATGCTTTGAGAAACAAAATGTCTTTATATTAATAAAATTTACACTTTTAATGCGCAAAACAAAACAATTTATTCAAAATAATATTTCAACAAATGAAAAATAACAACAAATATGAAACACTCAATTTAATTTCAAATTATTTACCAACCCCAGTGGGTACCGAAACCGTCGAAGCTCATGTGTGAGGCAGTTTCAGCAGGCGAGTAATGGATAGCAACTGGAGCCGCTTGGTGGTAGACAGGAGCTGGAGCAGCGTAGCTCACAGTTTTAGCGATAGCTGGAGCAGCATAGGTCACAGTCTTAGCAACAGGCACTTCATGATGATACACTGGAGCTGGAGCGGCATAAGCCACGGGCTTGGCAACAACAGCATGAGCTTGAGCCGGAGCATAGATTGTTTTGCTGACGACGGGAGCAGCATGCGTGTAAACAGCAGCAGTTGGCGCTGGTGCAGCATAAGAAACGGTCTTCACAGCAGCTGGAGCGGCGTAGGTAACAGTTTTGGCAACTGGTGTAGCATGTGTGTAGAGAGCAGCTGGTGCGGGAGCAGCGTAAACAGTCTTGGCTACAGCTGGTGTGTACACATTGTTGCTGACGCGTGTGTCCGACTTGTGCACGCTGGAATAAGGAGTTTCGATGGTCTTCGAGTACTGTGAGACGGTGCCATCGAAGGTGCGCACGACATTCTGGTGGCTGGAGGCAACAGCATCCACAGCAGGATTAGCGACGTGTGCGTAGGTGACGGGCTGCAATATACCAGCGCTGGCGACGGCCAAAAGTGCGGAGAATACGACGAATTTGAAAGCCATTTCTATGATTTTGTTGTTTTTACTGGATTAGTTCAATGAAATACTGGAGTGCTTGCTTTGGATTGATCGATCGTTGAATGATACTTTTCGTGTGCTGTGCGCTGCTTTTATACAATAACTGTGGCAGAAATTAGCGCCAGCGCGGCTTAGTTTTAAAATGTGTGACAGACAAAAATTGCAATCAAATCTCTTCCGTTCATTTTGGCTTGGAGTTTAGTGTTTTTATTGTTTTTGCTTTGCATATTAGGCATACTTACGCGTACTTACAGGCAAGTCAGCTAATGGAGATCACCTTGATACAGTCTGCTAATTATTTTATAGTGAAATGACGCGAGGGGCAATACCAAAGCGCTGGTAATCTCTTGTTACTTCACAACCATACACCGAGATCACAAAATTTCACCTCTTGACAGGTTTTTTTCCATTTGCTGATACAAATTTTATTATTTCAGTGAAACCTCGCATTGGTTACCGTCTCTCCTCCAACTACGGGAGTGAGGGCACATCAACGTTGAAGTCGCAAATTCAAGTGAGAAGCGAAACTAATTTGCTGATAATAAAATGAGCCCAAAATGTTTCAAAACTCTGACTGATCCCAGTTGGTACCGACAAGATTATTTGTGACCATCGGTCACCATAATCAGTTTGATGCCTAGATATTCACACACCATTCCACCATGCCGGACTCAATATCTCAGAAATTAACCGCCTGTCTGCAACCTATGCTTATATTTGGTGTCCTCATAAAATTAATACAGACAATACCCGAAACCTCCGTTAAAATTACAAATAGCCTCTCTGTGCCGTTAGGCATTCAACAAAGTTCCAGACAAACGTTGTGAGTCTTTCTGTAGCGGAATTTCTTTAACGTAATGCTGAAATACCTTAATATAATAGGAAAATGTACAAAGCCTCTCTTCCCCCTATGACTGGATTAATTATGTTATGCAGATGACACCACTTTACCGGATTTCGGTAATGGCGAGAGCAGAGTTAGGTTGCGTTAGATAGAACCGGTTGACCCAACGTGTGTTAAAATAATAGTTTTACACTCTTTTATGTGTTTCTATTGTGAAAGGCATTCTCATTTCATTTGTTCTCTTCGCGAATTGGTGTGAAATGTTTGGCCCTTTGTCAATTGCTGATTGACGACCCTGTAGCCTTGGCCTACACCAAGTGGGACTGGTACGAGGTGTGACATTTAAATACTGATACTGATTCCATAAAAACCGTATATTTCAAAATTATTCTACAACTTTGGCCTTCCCTTCAAAGTAGTCGGCTTGGGCAGCTATACAACGATTCCAGGGCGTTTTCTATGATTCGTTAGATTTCTGGAACGCTTAAACTGGGATGTCCGCGAGTACCCTCATCACAGCCACCTGGATTTCCCCAATTGACTCAAAATGGGTTCCCTTGACCACCGATTTTGTTCTAGGGACTCTAGTCACAGGGTGACGTATCTGGCGAATAATATGGTTGCTGATTTACGGCGATCTCTTTAGAGGCCAAATACTGGGACACACTGAAAGGTTCTTTGGAACCATATTTCTCATCCCAAAATAGTTGGTTGCAACTTGTCTTACTGTTTTACGGTTCATACCCAGTTCCGACACCAACATTCGAACTGTAAAACGTTGATATTGACGGATTAGAGCGCGCACACGCTGCACATTCGTGTCAATCCGCACCTCGACTAATCTCCCGCTCCGCGCCTCGTCATCCACGCTTTCATGCTCCTCTTAAATTCTTAATGCCATCGAAACACTTGAGCACGACTAAGAACACTATCACCATACACGTTTCCGAAGCTTTTTTGTCCGATTTGCGCAAAATTTTATTGCGACGCGTTGCTCTTGATTTCTTTTTTCCATTTTCGTGACCAGCACCACGATCACACGTTTACTCAACACGACACAGCAGGCGAACTAAAAAAGCTAGAGCGATGGCAAATAGATCAATGGAGAGAAGAAGGATGCCGAGAGAAGGCAAAGGGAATTTCAAGGTCGCAGGGTTACCGCAATCGCGGAAATATTATCAGTCTCATTACTTAATTTTCACACTTCGTAAGTCCATAACTAAATTCTGATTAGGAAGAATATCTTCAGCTATCTCATTACCTTTGACGCCTATTTTCCAGGTAAACTTTAAGTGGTAGATTTATAGTTCGCGCCACGTATAATACAGAAAGTGGAACATAAACATATACGAGGAGATCGATAGATGATATCCCAACTAATTAAGAGAGAGTGCTTGTGATGGCTAGGTCATACTGCTTGGACAAAGAAACGTTTTCTATGCATTCTGCTGGAGGGATCAAGTGAAGTTTGGCATCGATTCATATCTAATCGTCTAAACAGCCCATACCAATTGAAAAGGAGAAGAAATGGCAACAAAAACGGAAAAGGGAAGATGACGCTAAGTGTGGGAGGTTAGTACAAATAGACCAGGATTTTTGTTATTATATTTAATGTATTTGTATGTAAACAATGGAACATTTCTGGTCTTCAGAGAATATCACTATTGGTCACACCAAAATATGTGTTTAGGAGGTGTTAATGGTTGCTTTTAAAAGCCTGCGGCAACTAGGTAAAGGAGAACTTAGTACTGCAGCAGAAACTGCATCATAAAATTTGGTCCTCATATATCACAAAACTGGAGAGGAGAGTATCAAGAGGTAAACTTTTAGCGCACTCACGAGCCTTCACAAAGCCTCTTCAAATACACAAATAAGGATTGTAGTTTGTACGTGCAGTAAAAGTTTAGCATTTTAGACGACGCCAAGACGTTTTCAGGTCTTAAGGGACTCGTTTCTAAGCCTTTCCTAGGCTATAGATCTCTCGTCCAAGGCGTACTGTCTGAAGAATGCTGAAGTGCATACTTCCCCTACTTGGTTTGTACTTATCAACCTGGAATTCCAAACTTTATTTTACCCAAGTTGAGTATTTTTTTTTTTAATCTCATTATTCTGCATTTTGCTTGCTCCGCTCTCAGGCTTACACTGAAACCCAGTATGAGCCCTAAAACAATTGAGAAATAAAGCTTTCGAGCTACTCGACAAGCCTCAGTATCGCCAAGGAATCACAAAATTTCATTAATTTGCATAATTTTCAATCGAAAACAATTTATTTACCAACAAATATTCAACAAAATAATTAAAAATTTACATTCAGATGTGAGTGTGTGAGCATATCACAATATTGAAGTAATTAATTACCAACCCCAGTGGGTACCGAAACCATCGAAGCTCATGTGTGAGGCAGTTTCAGCTGGCGAGTAGTGGACTGTTTGGCTGGAGCCGTATCCTGAAACACCAGGAGCGTTGTGGGTGTAAGTAGAGGCAGCGGGTCCGTGATTGTAGTTGGTGGTAGCCACTGGAGCGGTATGATGATACACTGGAGCTGGAGCAGCCACAGCAGGAGCAGCATATGACACTGTTTTGGCAACAGGCACTGCATGATGGTAAACTGGTGCAGGAGCAGCATAAGCAACAGTCTTGGCAACAGCTGGAGCGGCATATGCAACAGTTTTAGCAACTGGTACGGAATGAGTGTAAACAGCAGCTGGTGCGGGAGCAGCGTAAACAGTCTTGGCTACAGCTGGTGTGTACACATTGTTGCTGACGCGTGTGTCCGTCTTGTGTACGCTGGAGTAAGGAGTTTCGATTGTCTTCGAGTACTGTGAGACGGTGCCATCGAAGGTGCGCACGACATTCTGGTGGCTGGAGGCAACAGCATCCACAGCGGGATTAGCGACGTGTGCATAGGTGACGGGCTGCAGTAAACCAGCGCTGGCGACGGCCAAAAGTGTGGAAAATACGACGAATTTGAAAGCCATTTCTATGATTTTGTTGTTTTTACTGGATTAGTTCAGTGAAATACTTGAAGTGACTGCTGGAGTGCTTACTTTGGATTGATCGATCGTTGAATGATAGCCTTTCGCTGTAAGCGTGTTGCTTTTATATGATTACGGTGTAGTGTATTTCGATGTGAGCGGCTGCGCAAATCAGTGTGACCCTCAACATTGTTTAGGTCCAATGTGAAATTAATATGTGGAATATTTTGCGCTTTTTTTTTGACAAATGTCGCTAATGTTATTGTTATTGGTTTTTAACAGACCTAATTAGGTAAGTGAATTATGGCAATAATAATTAATAATAAAAATATTGAGAACACAAAACAAAATATTAAAAACTTTTTTTTTATTCTGTGAGGAGAGTTTGTGGTTAAATCTGACTTCGGGCGTGAGGTCGCTGAAAAAAATTGTTTTGGACAACGCTTATAAACAGACTCTAAAGTAAGTAAGCAATTGAATCAGGATGGGGATGGATTGTACTCCATTATGTCATTCTATCGTCATTGGATGCTGTGTCTAGCTATAACTAACCTAGACCGGGGTAATGGTAGTTAACCTCAATACCTTATGGGCATAAGGAGTACGTTGATCGACATTCTGGGGGTGATCATTCCTCATCATTCCACTATGCCGACGTCGTTGTCAGTAACATTTACGTATTTCCTTTAATAAAATAGCGTAGACTGTTTATATAATTATAGTGACTTCTTTGACTTCATTTTTTTTTGTCCAGCAGTCGCTTCAAGATCAAACCAAGCCTGTATCGCGTTACTATTTGCACCTTTATCCATAATACCGAAAGATCACTTGCTCCTTGCTTGCACTCAGTCGCCAGGGGGCTCCTTTGGTGAGATTCTGGTTTCACAGCTATGGGTCTGGGCCAGTGAAAATTTCAACCAGCAAATCAAGTGATCGGCAGCTGTATTTGACAAGTATTCAGCAATCCATACTACTCCTACCAATACTGAGACGAGCGGTTAACAGAACAGAACAAACTACGGGCCGAAGAGCCATAGGTCAGAGGCCGATCAGAGTAAAGGCCGGAAGAGTTTTCCTCTGCGTGCATATGTAAAAAAAGTAATCGTAAAAGGTTTCTCTCGAAAACTTATTAGTCATTCGAGAAAGGGATTAAAACTTAATTTTTGAAAGACCAGGATATGCGTAAGGGGAACCGGACCGGAAATCGCTTATGTGCTTCAATACTTTAATTAAAAATATTTTCATTTGATTTGCGAATGCAAAAGGAATTTCTTTTGCACACATAAAATATTAGCTAATTTACTCTGCCAAACCTGAACTGACGCCCTGATGTCCCATTGCATGTCAAAGTCAGCGTACGATTTTCCTTAGCTCATTCTCGTTCCGCACTGTCGTAGCCACGCCAAAATACTGTCCGACTCGTAAACATTTATATATGTACACATTTGTTTGCCCATATGCCGACTTTGCTTTTGCAATTTACCAGCTCAGCTGTCATATGTGACCCTCCTCCTCCTCCGGCAAGCCTGCCTCAAGCCTTTCCTGTGCCTCTTCTTCAAGCCCATATTGTGCCATACCGAAACCATGGTAGGATTTTACTGGCTTGCACTGGCCATGTGGGCAAATACGAGTATGTATGTGTGTGGTTACCAGTTGCATATGTTGTTTGTACAGCAACAACAAAAAACAACAACCATCACCTCGAGTAATATAATTTTCGCCCAGACCAATTTCTTTAGCTCCTCTATCTACATCTTCATCGCCATCACACAAATGGGATGTGTTTGGGTTGTTTATCTGTCTAAATATATTTGTTAGACGATGAATGTCTCTGCTCTGCCGTCTCTAGGCCTCGGCTCCCAACCAGCGATAGTCGGTCGTCGTTCTTTGGCAAACTGTTGGTGTCCCGAGGGTAGGTAAATTTGATTTATGACTTATTATGCGTCTTATGTCCCTTTCATAATTTAATTATTCGTTCTGGCAATGTGACAATGCGTCGGCAAAGCGTACGATGAATGTTGCAACATGCAGGCCGGTGTTTAGTTGAGGAAGTGGGTGGAAGGTGGGCGAGGAAAAGAGAGAGAGGTGATTCCATGTGTCTGTATGTCTGTCTGGGTGTGCGTGTGTGTGTGGCACGGCTATTTATAGTCACCAAATTGCATTCTGACATGCAATGTTGCAACTTTTGCAGACAATCTCTCATTCCATTGCCTCTCTCGCACACCCTCTCTTGTGGCTGGTAGTGTGTGTGTGTGGATATGTTTGTATGCATGTATGTGCATTTTTTTTAAACTCTCACTTGGTGAATTTTCCCCAACGCATGCATTTTGTGTTAACTGCACTCTGTTACACTGACACACCCACACACCCATACATATATGCATTTGTATGCTTAGTAAATAACAATTTGTGCGTAGCATTTGCCGAGTCGGCATTTGAAGGTCGGCTGACGCTCAAGTACTTTACGCAGTCGAATGCAATTTAAAACATCAAAATTGTGTTTGTTAGTTAAACAACAACAAGAACAAGCTAACAAAAATAGCCATGTTGCATGCAACAAATACGAGGCGACTTAGTTGAAGCATTGCATTGGGCGAGAATGTATTTGTTGCAAACCAAAATAAAGCTGAAAATATTGGCAACAACAACAACAACAACAATAACTTTTGCGAACAACATTGTAATACTGCAGCACTAGTACAACAACAATAGCAACAACAACAACAACAACAACAACAACAACAACAACAACAACAATATTGGGTGTGGTAAAAAGAAATCTATTATTTTTTCATTAAATTCAAGGCTTTAATTTTTACTTTTCTTATCGAGCCTTATTCAAATGCTGCCAAAAAGTTTTTCGTGCTATCTTTAGCTCTTGGGCAATCTAAACAGTGCTTACAAGACGGTCGTACTCGCAAAGTCCATGATTTTATCGACATTTTCATCAATTGGCCATCCACTCCGTGAAGCATCTTTTCCATCAAAATCACCGGAATGAAACCAAAATTGTGCCTGATTGACCGTTAAAGTATCAGGACCATAAATGCTATTCACATTTTCAGGCGTTTTCGATTCAATAGAAGAAAAAGGTTAAATTATAGCGTATCCTCTCTTTGCTAGAGACGGACATCTTTGACGCACGCTAAAAAAAAAAAGAAAAAACCAATCATAAAACTGTCAAAAAACCTTTCTTAGTACGAAATGTCACCTTTCTAATGCCACCCAGCGGAAGCCGAACGTACTTTTACAACGCGAGCTACAGGCTAATAACGTCATTGGAAAATAATGGATTTCTTTTTACTACACCTAATACTACTATTGTATTCTGGCAGTTAAGTATAAATTTTGTAATTAAAATCTGTTTTAGTTGTTGCTGATCCCCAAAATATGCTAATAACATTACCGAATAATTTTGGGTGTTGTTGATTTTGTTGTTGTTGTTGTTTTTTAATATTTTTGTCAAAAACAAGACTATAAGAATACGCTGTGGATTTCCGAATTGTCACTTGTGTAAGACAGCTGACTCAATATCAGAGAGCAAGAGGGCGTTGGTGAGACATAGAGTGAGAGAGAGAGAGAGAGTGAGAGAGAGAAGGTGGGAATGAAATACGCAGATGAGATGTACGAGGAATCGCATGAATTATTGAGTAATTGTCGCTTTCTGTGCACTTCCATCTTCATCAATCTTTATACATAGATTTCGGTACATTCGTGCAATAATCATATTGACATGGCCCTCACCCACTACTACCACATCTTCTCGAATTAAACAAATGTCTCTACTAATTGCTAATTGCAAATTGGCAGTGTCAATGTGGTCAGCTAATTTTGATGCATTTGAAATCTCACAACTGTTTAATATAAAACTGCCCAATGCAAGACAGTTGAGGGCAGCATTATGAATGTGACACCTGCTCCCAAGGGTATCGTTCATGAATATACATTTATTTGATTAATAGTGACAAGAAATGTTGTTGCTGGTGTTTGTTGAATTTTTTTAAATTTTTTTTAATAAAATAATGGGTTACCTCCACTGCTATACACACATGGGGTTCAATCTAGGGGATACCAAATGTACCCATTTAAGCACATTTAACGTAGAAAACTATTGAGTTTGAGAACAAAGCTGTTTTTAAGACTCTCAGTACACAATTACCGTCCATGAATATTATTTTTGTAAGAAGTTTTCAAAGTTTTCTGCAAGCCGCAAGCCCAAGATCTTACTCCAGTATCTCGACAATCTATAAAATCCTATTGTTTTGGCATGCACTACCCTATGACTGATCTCCCGAGATGCTAAACCTTTGCGACCACGTTAACCATATGGTTAACATTGCGTACTGCCATTTGCAAGGCTAATTCTGAACCGATCAATGTTCAAAAATAACAGAAAATTAATTTAAATAAAAAACTAAACTCAGTTTTCTTATTGCGGTGGCCCCTCGGCATGTCATGTCAAGCTCTCTGAGTGCATTTGTGACATGACATAAAGGCTCCTCATAAAAAAACCATCAGTCATTCGGAGACGGCTTAGTATAAACTGTGTTGGTCCCTCCTCTAGTTGGGAAAACAAAGAAACGAAAAATCTGGAGTTGAAGCTCTGCGCGCAGTCCGAGAGACACTGCTAGGGTGAGTGTTAGTTGAACAACCTTTTCTCGGCAATTCCTTTATTATCTGTTAACTCTATCGTTAACCCGAAACATATCTCGTCTCAATCGGTCCTAAGAGTGTAGCGTACGCTCGAAATGCCACACCGTATGTTGTGCAGCTGACCATTAAGACCAGAAAGTTTCCGGAATTTTTTTTTTTTTTTTTTTTTTGAAATTCGGTTTTTTTCATCATGGATTCGTTACAACGGTATAGACGGTCAGTAAAGAGTATTATTTAGGCGTTTTGGCCGGGACTGTGGATCCATTTTATTATTTATGCGACCTTAAACACGGAGCTGTAGTTGTGAACGATTTTGATGCATAAAAACTCCTTCAATACCATCGATCAACTACTGTGTTCATTGGATTTGGCTCCATGTGACCTTTGTTTGTTTGCAAAACTCAAGTTACCACGCCGTGGAACCCATTTCGACTCGATTAAGGTCGTAAAAGAAAATTCGCTGAGGTCGACTGATTTCATCAGCTGCTGCAAACAAACCGATTTGACAGTTCGCGCTCATTATTCTCATTGTAATTAAGAACACTGCTGGTC